TCAAAATGTCTTCAGACTGTGACCTCTCACATATCCTTCTCTGGAATCATTACTATAGCTAACATTTACATAGTGCTCACTGTGTGCCTCACTTTAGCACTTTAGAGCAACAATATGAGGTTGATGGTACAATTTCTCTGTTTTCCAAGTAGAGAAACTGAGCCATGGAGAAGTTAGTTCCCAGGGTTCCACAGCTAGGAAGTGGTGGAGTGAGGACTTGAACCTGGGTAATCCGAAGTCCACTGTGTTAGATCGCCTCTACTCGAGGACGTGCTCCACCACGGTGACGGAGGGAAACAAAAAAGATCCAGGAAACAAGATCCAGCACAAGAGTGGATCAAAAGGAACTGCCAGTTTGGAGGTGAAGGGATGCTCTAGGATAGTAGCAGTACAAAGATACCTGGAATTCATTTGTTCTGGAACACGTGGAGGGCTCCAGGAGAAAAATGGAACAGATATATTACCTGTTACGTTCAGTCATACGGAGCGTAGTCTGCTGGTGGAGAATGAATCGGTGGTATCTCCATAAACAAACACAGACAAATATGAAAGGGGATATCATCATAATATACCACGTGGCTCTGCTTTGGATAATATTTGTGTAGACAGTCTGCAGTAGATCCTGAATGTTGCCTTCACCAGGAATTGTGATTGGGGAGGGTGGGGAAGAGAAACGCCTTTAGATGTGTGTGCCTGTGAAGGGCCAGTGGGTGTGGTGTAAGAGGATTAAATGTCCACTTTCACAGTAGGAAGTCAGTACAGACTATTTTGAGACAGAAGAAAAATGAGGCACTGTCTCAATATTTAGAAAGATGGCAGTAAATACCAGAAGAAACATGAGATTTAAAGTGGTTGCCTCTGGGGTGCTAGAATTAGGGATTGGAAAGGCTGAGGCAGAGAACTGCCATTATTTAAGTAATATATGACTTCAAAAAAATAATTATGTATACACAAAACATGGCATAGTTTTCCTGTGTCAGCCCATAACCTGTGTGTCGGCAAACCTTGAAGGTTCTATATGCAGAGTATATCTGCGGTCTGGCCCCTTCTCCACACCATTACTGTTGCCACCTGGGCTCAGCCACCAGCTTCTCTCCCCTGGGTTACTGCAGCGTCTCCTGTCTGGACTCTGAGCTTTTATCCTTGCTCCTTTTTTTTAAGATTTTATTTATTTATTTATTTTTAAAGATTTTACTTATTTGACAGAGACACAGCGAGAGAGGGAACACAAGCAGGGGGAGTGGGAGAAGGAGAAGCAGGGAGCCCGATGCGGGGCTCCATCCTGGGACCCTGGGACCCCGGGATCATGACCTGAGCCAAAGGCAGACGCTTAACAACTGAGCCACCCAGGTGCCCCTTAAGATTTTATTTTTAAGTAATCTCTACACCCAACGTGGGGCTTGAACTTAGAACCCCGAGATCAAGAGTCGCATGCTCTACTGACTGAGCCAGCCAGGCGCCCCCTATCCTTGCCCCTCTTCAGTATCTGCACAGCACCCAGAGCGATGCAGTTAAAATATGAATCCGATTATGATGCTCTCTTGCTCAGAGCTCTGCTGGCCACCCCCCATGTCCACACACACCCCTTCCCTGCTGTATTTTTCGCCATAGCATTTATCATCTAACATTAGGTGTGCTATGTACTCCTTTTGTTTCTTGGCTGTGTTCTGTCATTAGAAGATAATCTCAATGAGTGTGGGGATTTTTGTCTGCTCTGTTCCCTGTATTCTCAGCCTAGAACAGTGCTTGGCACACTGTAGCCCCTGAATAAAGATTTCTTAAATAAATGTACTGCTTTCATGGGAATAAAAATTACATTAAAAGTAGCACCAGTTTTAAGAAGCTGTTTGCAGTAAGCTAAGCCAAGCAGCTCATTGTCTTACTGGCTTAAGCATCCTCAAGCAATTTGAAACAGAAATCCTGGGAGATCTAATTGAAAAGATTTGTTTCCATTTGGAAAATAACCATATGCTATTGTCCTGACATTACGCCCCTTGAAAAACTTGTGCTGCGTACTAGGAGTCCTTACTGCAAAAATGAATCGTAGTGTTTCCTGGTAACTCTTTATGACTCAGACTGTTGAATTTCACAACCTTTTGGCAACTAAGATTTCAGACAGGATACTGGTATTTATTTTTAAATCCTAGAATCTGCTTAGTGAGGTTAAGTAAGCATCACAGATATCTCCTATGAGGATCCAACAGCCAAGATTCCATTTCTTACAGGGAAAACCGCCTCCAGCAGTCTGAACACCAGTTGGCCTTGTATTCGCTCATAATCATTCTTGCTGTGTTGCGGCCAGCTAAGGCTGCTTGCGTTTCGTCGGGGCGGGCTTTCTCAGCCAGCCCTCTTCCTTCTCACCTCTTCGTTCAGAAAATGTCAGGTGCCAGGCCAGTGCCATCACATATATCCCCATGGCTACAGATCACATGTCTGCATACACATGGTTAGAACTCCCAGAAGGAGAAGTGGGACTGTGAGAGGGAAGGGTCTTCATCCTCGGGCCGGCCCCGAGAACACGTGAATGAGGAGCAAGGCGAAGGACACAGTCTCTCTTTGCACTGCCTGCAGAGGTCTTCTTGGAAATCAGCTGAAACCTAACCTTCCTCCACACTCCTTAAGTAGCAGAATGTGGACACTCTTCGAATCTATGAAGGACTTTAAGATGTTTGAAAATCATGACCCTCGGATGTCGAATGTGTTAGATTATAGTTCAGTTTATATTGGAAGGGATGTGTATTTGTGTTTAGTTAACTGTGACACCAAAGAGGTTTTGCAGGGACTTTTTTGGTGGTGGTTTTGTTTTGCTTTTGGTGATTTCCCTGAGTGTAAGCGTTGTTTGCCTACTTAGGTGATTACGGAATAAGAGTTCTAAATGCTTGACGATGATTTAGGTCCCCATTATATCAGTGTGCCTTTTCAGGCTGCGTTCTGCCCTTCCTCAGGCTTCCAGATACGCCCATCTGTTATTGCCTTGTATAATGATAGCCACACACTGCTTTTCCTGCTAGGTCATGAAGCTCTTTCTTGTTTAAAGAGCCGATGCTATTTCATTGTATCATTTTGAGGAAAGATAATGAATTCTGAGAGAATCCTAGTTAAGTAGCAGGCAGTGTGCTGTATACATTTTCCATATTCAGTATCCAGTAGAGCTCTGACCATAGTCAGCCTTTGGCCTGTGATAGGATTTCATTGTTCTCTTTACTATGATAGGGACTGGGTGGCTTCAGTTTTTGCAAACCCAAGGTGAGAAACCTTAAACTGATTTGTGCCGAATAATGCCTTGTGAGTCATTAAAATTAAGTGCCACTATGCTTGGTGGTGGTGGTTTATATATAGATTGCAATAAAACACTGGGCAGAGTGTCTCCTTGTAAACAAAGAAGTTTGTAGACTGGTAGACGGAAGAGTTGATAGGATTCACTGCTGCTGGCAGAGCTTTTCCCAGAATTGTTCTGGAGAGATCTGTAGTGGCATGCTGCAGGTTTCTACTCTTGTCCCTCTCTTGTTCGTGAATTTGGATAATGACTTAGAGGTATGTTTGCTCAGTGGTGGATGAGAAAGCCAAGATGGGTAACTAAAAGCCAAATGCCAACTAAGGATGTTGAAAGATCACAGAAGGATCTATGAAGGGTGAGCTGAAAGAGACCGAATGAATTCTAATAATGACAGTTCTTGTCAACAATTTAAAAAGTTGCTACAAAGTTACAGATTGGCCAAGAACTGGCCAAACTGCAGAAGAACTAAAAGCAGTTGAAATTTGTGAGATCCGAATTTGTGTGTGTCGTAGTTGCCTGAAAAGAATCAGAGTCTGGTGACAGATGCCAAAGGTACAGAACAGAGGCAGTACAGGGATCCTTCGACTAAATTCTGAAGGATTAGCCAGGTTAGGTTTGGGATGTTGTATTGTGTTCTTACGATTACATTAGAATGTTTTTATCATGTAATATTTGGTAATACAAAAGAATACATGTAATATGTAAGTTAGGAAAGAAACAAAAAAACCTATCTAGAGACCTGTTCCAGCTTAAGAACTAGAACATTCTGAAGATCCTTGACTGTTTCCTCCTCTACCCCAGAAGTAACTGTTAGTCTGAATTTGTCATTGCTTTGCTTTTTCAAAAGTAATTCTACCACATTATGTGTGTATTTATAAGACATATATTCTCTTTCTTTTTTTTTTTTTTAAAAGATTTTATTTATTTATTTGAGAGAGAGAGAGAGAGAGAAACAGCATGAGAGGGGATAGGGTCAGAGGGAGAAGCAGGCTCCCCGCCGAGCCGGGAGCCCGATGCGGGACTCGATCCCAGGACTCCGGGATCATGACCTGAGCCGAAGGCAGTCGCTTAACCAACTGAGCCACCCAGGCGCTCGACATATATTCTCTTTCAAGTTGATTTTCAGTTTTATTAAAATGACATTATACTTAATGTAGCCTTTGCCACTTGCTTTTTACATTCAACATTGTTTCTAAGATGCATGTGTATCAGTTGTTCTCAACCAGAATCCCTCATCAACAGAATTCCCCCATGAACACAGAAGATGATTTGAGTGGCTCTTTTCTCAGTTCTCGCAAGGATGGTACATAAGCGGCACTTGCTAGATACGCAGGAGAGCTGCTGTCTGGGTACCTAGCGTGGGTGCACAAGCGGGGCACTTGGGGCTTCACTCTCTGTTGGAACCTGCTGGAGTTCTAGTTAATTCACGTTTACTGCTGTAGAATGTTCCACTGGTGAGCATATTAAAAGCTTATTCGTATATTCTCTTCTCATGGACATTTGGGTTGTTGCCAGTACTTTTGTTGTTACTGTGGACAGTTTCGCTCTGTGTTGTATGTACCTTGGGTGCATGTGAATAAACATTTCTCTCCATGTACATCTGAGTGGTGTTGCTGGGGACTGCTACGTTCCCATGGGGACATTGGTAAACCCAGGAGTAAAGCGAAGGGCAATTCAGAATAGTTCAGCTATTCATAACCAGTCTTTATTCTTATTTTCTTAGGGATTGAAGAGGTTAATGACCATTTGCCAGAAGCACTTTCCTACAGATCCATCAAAATGTGTGGAGTACAACGCACTGTGAAATCTGGGTATGGTGTCTTAAGTAACGAGAAACTTAAGTGGACGTGCTGTACGGACTTCTGGAATTCCCATCAGGAACGAGGGAAGAATAATGTGGTTTCCTGTGTTTGAGTTCTACCTAACGCTACTGTCTCGGTTTTAAGAAACGGTGTTGGCTCTCCTGTCACATCTGGCTACAAACTGATTTTTGTGTCATTTACTTTAAATAGTCAAAAAATTAAGTTCTAAAGACTTTTCCTCGAATTTAAATGTGTAGACAACTGTCCCAGAAGAGGGTCTAAAATGACGTCTTCCCTCTAGACCTACAAGCTGGCACTTAGAGGATTGAAAAGGAACATTTGAGGATGGACTTAATTTCTTTCTGTAAAATACGGTAATTTTCACATTGTCTTTTATGTAGCATTTATAAAAAATATTTTTATATATTTCAACAGAAATATGGAACCATTTAATGAAACTTTATAGTCCTTAAATGTTGCTGAACTTTTGCCATCTTGCAGTAGAATTGGAATGTAAATGTTATTACTGTTAACTCAAGTGTTGTTTTTCTTGCATTTCAAGGCTGGCTTTTACCTTCTAAGGAGTGTAAATTTTAGTATTTGTCATCTCTTTGGGACAGAAGAATTAACAGGAAATCACAGTTCAAAATAGATGGTATATTATACCAACAGAAGTTTAAATTAAGAAGCCCAGTGCCTCAAGGTTCAAGGTGGGGCAGTGGATTGTCAAGCCAGCCAAGGATGGGGACGTTGTGACACCACTGGTTCTTCCCAGACTAGGACTGCTTGTGAGTCTCCTTGTTGCAGGGCCCGCGGTGGACTGCCGCTCCCGGCCCTGTGCCACCGCGCATAGAACAAGGCGCCGGGACTCTGGTCACTGCCTGACACAGTAGGCCATGCGTCTGAGTTGGCCCACATGAGGACTTCCGAATCTCACACAGTGTCCTGTGCAGATAATGGTATAATGGTGACGAATCGCTGTGCTCTGCAAGTTGAGAGGCCTCGGTTAATAGAGGAAGGTGGGTGAATGGAACCGACCTGCCCAGGGGGAGTGACAGTGTCGGGTAGCAGTAAGGGGCTGCTCCCGAGTCAGCACTGCCGAGCTGGAGGTCCCAGATCTCCCCCTACAGGTGCGAGACCCTGGGCGTCACTCAGCCTGTCTCTGCCTCCTTTTTGCCCCGTCTGCAAACGGTCGCGAGGCCCTGGGGTGTACACCTCAGCGTGCCGCTGTGGTGGTCAAGTCAAATAAAATGCTTAGTGCGCTGCCTGGCAAATGAGAGCTCAGTGGGTACTGGTTCTTGTGTCCTCGTTCCTAGAGTGTTACTGCAGTAGCGTTCCTGAGCCCTGTGCCGAGGGGCGGTGTGTGCTCAAGTCAGGGTAACACCAACGATGGGGGGGTGGCAGCGACAGCCGTAGGGGTAGGAGCGGTTACCAAGCAGGGACTGTGTCTGGGCTCGGTGACTGCTCCCGATTTCAGCCAGTTGGGAGTTGAAAGGGTGAGAGGACATGGTGGGAGCTAGAGTCCGCTGAGTTGTAGGTGGGGGTAGCTTCTCATAGCTCCACGGTCACCTATTCTGGCCCCTTTGGGAAGGCTCGAGAGCCTCTTGTGGTCACCTGTGTATGGCCATGCCTGTCGGGTCATTTCTGCTGGGTTTCTGCACAGGGTGGCTGGAGCCTGCCGTCCTGAATTGAATCAGGCTTATTCCCTACCCCACTCCCCACTTCGGAAACCATTTCTTATGATTAAATGAGTTAGGACTTAGGAGAGCTTACTCTAGGGCAAATGAGAGAGAGACTTTCGTAAGATAGGACGCTAGTCTAGACTTGAGTTACGTAATCTTGTTGTGTTGGACTTGCTGATAAATACTGTTGAATGAATACTCCCCAAATTACTTCTCTTTGTTCACAATCAGACCACAGCATGGCAGTCCGTTGTTTTCATGTTGTCTTTCCATTTGCTGTTAGTTAATACTCCACATAAAGAAGAAACTGTATCAGGTGACACCAATACCTTCTAAAATTGATCTGTATGGGTAGAAGGTTTAAAAAAAAAAATGGTAACTTTCTATAGTCCTGTGAATTGTTAACCATGGGGGCTTAGGTAGAGGGAAGCAGGTTCGTAGAAAAGCTTTCCATTTCCCTGAAATTAAAGGTCTTCTGTTACTTGCAAATAATCACGTGGCTAAATAGAACAGTAACCTCCCGCGTTCTCCACATCATGAAAATTTTAGTTCAGCAGATATGACATACTTCTGCTTTTAGCTATTTTTAAAATAATAAAGGCATCCTTTAAAAATCAGTCACAGCCCTGAAATTAACCATTCTTCCCTTTCTTCATTACTGCCGGCCCAGACTCCTGTCCAGAGGAGTTCTTTCTGGAGTCAGATTTAATAAAATGCTGGTATTCTCTCACAAGTAATCCTGTATTTTCTGGGAGTGTTCTTGCCAACTGCAAAGACCAAGCAGTAGATGTTAGCATTACAACACAGAGCCTGTGGCAGCCTGGAAGCCAGGGCTGTGCTCTCAGTCTTTGGGGAAAATTAGGAAATGAAGTTGAGGCCAAAGACAATTGAGGGAGAGAGAACGAGGATGGTCCCGATCTCCTGAGGAGAAGGGGGAGGTCCCGAGAGACCCGAGCTGGGAAGGCAGCTGTCAGGAGTCACAGAGCTGAGGGATCTGCTCTGAGCTCAGCGAGAATTGGGAGGAATGGGAAATAGGATTGATAGCAGAGGGCGCCTGGGTGGCTCAGTCGTTAAGCGTCTGCCTTCGGCTCAGGTCATGGTCCCAGGGTCCTGGGATCGAGTCCCACATCGGGCTCCCTCCTCGGGGGGAAGCCTGCTTCTCCCTCTCCCACTCCCGCTGCTTGTGTTCCTGCTCTCGCTATCTCTGTCTCTGTCAAATAAATAAATAAAATCTTTAAAAAAAAAAAAAAGGATTGATAGCAGAAGGGCTTCTTGGTGTTAAGTCCTTCCAGCTGGTGATTTCCTGACCTACTCTCACACTTTCGATTGCCCTGGGTTTCGACCCCCGTAAATACTTGAGAAACACAACTGTCTTTTCACTTGAAAGTCATTTATTCTGTGAGCAGTTTAGAAAAGACAACAGAAAAGTGTTCCAGAGTCTTTGGTAGATTTGAATTTGGGGATTCGTTATCACTGGCTCCTTTTCAGCCACACAGTCACCCCCTTTTAAGGATTAACATAGGAGATGGTAGAATTTGGGCAGTTTTAGTGAAAGGGGGGCGTTAAATTGCAGTGTCGCGATCGCCTTTGTCGGAGTGTCTTGGAGATGTGCCTCCCCAGTACGCTCCTATGAAGCCCCTCGCTGGCCAGCTTGACCCCGTAGAAATGTATGGTATGGGACCATATTGGGAGTCCTGAGCTGCAAGCCCTTCCTCACGGCTTCTGATGTGGGAGTTTCCAGCTGTGTGAGGAGCCAGCACCAGCCCCCTGAGGGTCACTACGGGACCACTGTTAAGGCAACTGGTTTTCATCACAGACCCAGTAGCTCCATTGGCTGAATTCTAACCACACGCTAGTACTTTAATGGTTAACAGTATCCTGAACATCTTTTGAAATTTAAAAACAAGTTCTGGGGGTGTGGAGTAACTCGGGGGAAGGCAGTGTGGCTGGCGGCAGCTGTGGTGTGAGCCGATCCCATTCAAGATCTGGGAGCCGTGCTCGTTTAAAAAAAAGGTTTTGTATATTTACCAAAAGCTTATTATGAAAGCTTTGATTACTTACTCAGTTGTGCCCATACTAAACCCCGGGGTCCTTGGTACAGCTTGCTGGAGCTAACCGTCCTCGCGTTGCCGGTCGGGATTGCTCTGCTGAAGCAGGCAGCTTGGTTTTGTGGGGTCCCGCCTCCCCGCCTATAAGCACCGGCTTTGAAAATACTGTCAGCCTTCCCTCACAGCATTCAGGCTGGATACATACTTTCACCGGGGAGAGCAGCTAAGAAGTTTCAGGCTTCCTTTCGAGTATGATCCGTGACCTCAGAAGTGTTCACTGAGCTTCCTCCCACGATGGGCAAGAGTCATTTGGGCAGTCTGCTCTCTGTGCCTTTCTGAACTCACAGTTTGTCATTGCCAAATTGCCTTTCCTGTCCAACTGCTCTGCCTTTTTTTTTTTTTTCAACTGCTCTGCCTTTAAGACTTAGGAACAATCGGGAAGCTTTAGTGTTGTAGTCTGAGCTTGGCTTGGAGGTTCTGCCCTCCCGGGAAGCAGGAGAGTTAAAGCTGTAGCTTTGGAAACTTTCTGACCACAATTCAAAGTATAACAGTAACAAATGCATGCATACATGAATGCACATATAACTGAAACAAAAGCACTCACATACTCTTCTCTTGTATTTCTTTTAAGAATATGCTGGCTGTGACTCCAAACAGGGTTACGACGCATTAATGCACTGTGACCAGTAGTTTGAAAACCACCCATTAAGACCACCAATTATCAGTAGAGTTAAGGATGGAAATAACCTGGTAGATGAATTCAGGGCAGAAGGACTCTACTTTTTATTTTTTTTAGCCACCTAGGCGCCCCTAAATTGTTGATTTTCCCATGTAAAGGCAAACAGGTATTGGCTTTCAGGGTCACTACAAAGGTCTATTACAGTGAAGGTTGTGCTTTCTGGAGATACGGCGGAAAGTGGGGTATGAGGATTTGGCACAACTGGGTGCTGGGGAATAACTATATTGTTGATAACTCTCTAAGTCCTGAACAAACCTCCATCCTCTTCCATGTTTTTTTTTTTTTTTTTTTTTTTTAAATAACATATAATGTATTATTTGTTTCAGAGGTGCAGGTCTGTGATTCAGCAGTCTTACACAATTCACAGTGCTCACCATAGCACATACCCTCCCCAGTGTCCATCACCCAGACCCCCATCTCTCCCACACCCCTCCACTCCAGCAACCCTCAGTTTGTTTCCTGAGATTAAGAGTCTCTCATGGTTTGTCTCTCTCTGTGGTTTCATCTTTTCATTTTTCCCTCCCTTCCCCTATGATCCTCTGTCTTGTTTCTCAAATTCCTCATGTCAGTGAGATCATAGGATAATTGTCTTTCTCTGACTGACTTATTTCACTTAGCATAATACCTTCTAGTTCCATCCATGTCGTTGCAAATGGCAAGATTTCATTTTTTGATGGCTGCATAATATTCCTGTGTGTGTGTGTGTGTGTGTATCACGTCTTTTTTATCTATTCATCTGTTATGGACATCTAGGTTCTTTCCATAGTTTGGCTATTGTGGACATTGCTGCTATAAACATTGGGGTGCATGTGCCCAGAAGGACTCTACTTTTAAAAAGTTTTTTAAATACAGAGCTATAGAGATCACACTCAGCGTTCAAGGTTAGTGTGAAGTTTAGCAGATTATAAAACCTTTCCAATGCTAAGTACTTGCGAAGCAGCAGTTCTTATATTTCAGATGAAGAGACTATCCCCCAAGGGGAGGATAACCACAACACACAACATATAGTTGGCAGCGTGGTTTGGTGACCACCTTAGGCTGGCTGTCAGTTGTATAAAGGGAGATGAACCAAGGTATAAAATAGATGGGAGCTCAGAGGTAGGGTTGAGGCAGAGAAAGATACATCGTGCATCAAATCTCTATTGAGGGTTGGCTCATGCCTTTAAAGATTACTTCCCAAGGCTGAGGTAGGGCTGGATTACATTCCTTTTTATGTAAATTTTTAAGCAATTGTGTAATATAGAAAAATGTACAAATAAGAAGACTACCATATCCTGATACATTTTTCAAAGTGAATATCTCCCCAAAGTCTCCAGCACCCAAGTCAGGAAAGAACGTTGTTAATGCCCCGGAAGTCTCCTCATGCCCCCTTCTGGTCACAACCATGGTCCTAATGTCTAACATCATTACTGCTCCATAATGTACATACCCTACAATTCACCCATTTAAAGTATATAGAGATTTAGACTATTCAGAGTTGTACCACCATCGCCACAACCTTAAGTTCAGAACATTTCATCACCCCTAAAAGAAACCCTGTACCCATTAGCAGTCACTAATAGGTTAGTTTTGCCTGATTTTTCATCTGCTCATTTGTAAATGGACTCAGTGGTCTTGACTTGTTTTATGTTTCATTTCTTCTGGTTTCTGATCCTCCTCCTCATCACATGTCATTGTGATTCGTTCATTCTCATGGCCACATCCCATAATTTATCTGTTTTACTGTTGATAGACTTTTGAGTTGGTTCCAGTTTTTGTATGAATATTGTGTGTGCATTCTTTGGTGAATATGAATCTCTGTAGGGTACACACCATGTTGTGAAATGTCTGGGACATAGGGTATGTGCATACTCAGCTATATTAGATACTGTCAAGGAATTTTCCAAACGGCCTGTACAGTGGACAGCCCCCCCAGGCAGGATTTGAAGTTCCAGCTACTCTACATCCCGGCCACACATGACATACTCTGTCATTTTCATTTTAGCCCTTCTGGTGGGTTAAAGTGGTATGCTGTGGCCTTAATTTGCATTTCCCTGCTGACACATAAAGGTGGCCACCTTCTTTATGTACTTGCTGGCCATTTGGATATTCTCTTTTGTGACGTTCCCATTTAGGATCTTATTTTTGCCCATGTCTTCTGTTTAATTGCCTGCCTTTTTCTTACTGATCATAGTTTGTTCTTCTGGCTAGGAGTCCTTTGTTGGACACGTTTATTGCAAATACTTCTCCCGCTCTGTGGCTTGCCTCTCTGCGAGGTTCCTTTTTATGCAAAGGGGAAATAACCTTTTAACGAGCTCAGATATTGACATAATCTTTGCTACCTGTGCCAGGTTGTACAAAAATCAAATTATGTGTTAGTCTTACAGTAATTTTTTTCTCTTGATTAATGATGTCATCGTCTTGGTGTGCCTTTAAGGGTATAGGATTTGAGAGAGGAAATCATGTGACTTTTAAAAATTTTTTTGCTATACTTTGGTTTTATTAGATTATTATTTAAGACCTGGTGATTTTTTTCTTCCTTTGGTGTGCAAGTATGTACACCATATATGTGTGTTGTAGACAGTGCTCGCTGGTGGCTTACCCTGTTTTCATTCTCCTCCTCTTTGCTAATAGAAGCTTAATGTGTTCAGAGCTGCAATGCACACAGTTAAAACTGCTTGCTCTCCCAGGACCCTTTGATGTTAGGGTTGGTTATGTGACATGTTCTGCCAATAATCCGTGGAGAGAGTCTGTTGGGTAGGACTTCCCGAAAGCTATTGCTTTTCCAAGAAAAAGAAATAGACTTAGCTGACAGACATCTTTTGCCCCTTCTCTCTTCTTTTCTGGAAGGTGGTTCTGAACCTCAGATGCTTTGCTGCCGTCCTGTAGTCATTGATGGTGAGAGAGACATGCTAGAGGTGGCAGAGCTGGTTCTTGGGTGGTACCATGGAGTCACTGTATAAACCTTGAGCTGCCTTCTTAGGGTTCTCCAGAGAGAGACCAATAGGAGACGTATGTATGTATGTATCTATATCTCTCTAAAATAAATGATGGAAATTTATAAATATATGAAAATACAGAAACTATATGTAATTACATAATGTATATATATTATAAGGAATTGGCTCCTGTGACTATGGAGGCCAAGAAGCCCCATAATTTGCTGTCTGTAAGTCTTACTCTGAGGGAAGGAGAAGACCAATACCCTAGTTCAACAATCAGGCAGAGAGAGCACGCACCCATGCGCGTAGTCTCCCTTACCCTCAACTGATTGGACAGGGCCCACCCACTCTGGGAGGAGCCATCTGCTTTCCTCAGTCCACTGATTCAGATGTTCATCTCCTCCAGAATAATGTTTAACTGGACATCTGGCACCCCGTGTCCCAGTCATGTTGACACACAAAATTAACCATCACAGCTGCCTTCCTCTGGGCCTCCTGTTTCATGAGAACAGTGTGGGGTCATTTCCCAGGACTGTGTTCCCATATATGGATTCAGTCCCTAAACAACATGTACGTTACTCAGATATTTCTTGGCTTTCAACATCACTGAGACTTGTGGCAGGTATGGGATGGTGCTCTACGGGTGCATCTGTGTCTGCTGGACTAAGATCGTACCTTCGCCACGCGAAGGTAAAAGTACCTGTAACCGCGTTCATCTGAGTGAGTCCGGTGGATGCTGGCACCAAGTCACCAGCTGCAGAAAAGCCCTTAATTAGGCTGATGTTAAAGGCAGTTCAAAGACAACCAGGTATCTGAGACCCAGAGGAGTGCTTCCGGCGGGTCGTGAAGATTCTGTCACCCAGCTTATTAGACGGAAGCATCTCGCTCTTGTCCCTCTCAGGAGTTTTCCCCAGATCTTCATTAGAGTAAGAAATGACTTTGAGAGGACAGACTCCTAAATACTTGTTACGAATGTGAAACATACTTGAGAAAATCAACAATCGGGACTTCGTTATTTTGGGGGAAAATAGGCTTTGGCTTGCTCTTCCTTCTGAGACCATGACTCACTTTACACTCCCATGGGCCAAAAAGATACTTGTGTATCTAATATTTTTTTAATCTAAAAATTGAAGATTGGCTTGCTCTTAATATGGCGGTAGCTTTTACAAGTCTTTCTGCTTGTAGAGCCTTGGGGTCCGTGCGTTGATGAGGCACCGTGGGCCTGCTAGCGAGGCGACGGGGACAGCTCGGGGCCACGAGGGCCGGTGGGTGCGGGTGGCGAGGTTCTTCTTTCCCCGCTCCCACCACCCCTTCCGTGGCAGCTGTGACACGATTCTCCTTGGTGGCTGGCTTCTTATTGGGTTCCCCTGACAGTGGGCACACGAGAGACGGGAAGCTAGAGGAGGGAAAGGGACCTGCTCCTCTGTTGGCTTTCTGTCCCTCACAGCCCAGCAGGACCCTCAGTTCCTGAAGAAGGAGCTGCTTCCCATGGGCAGTTTTCCACACTCGGAGCAGCGGCTTCATTCTGCCACTTGGAGATCTGTGGGTTCTGCCACCTTCCTGGGGCACTCGGCAGCCAGCCACCAAGCTGAGCAGCACCCCTCAGTCTGCTCCTCAGAGGGCTGACTTCCAGCTCTGCGGGGCACCTCCTCATGCTTCTGGGTTTTCCCATTCCCTCCCTTGCCTTTGTTTCCCTGCCCTGAGCACTGGCCGCTTCCCTAGGGTCCTCTTTGAGATCTAGTGTCCCGTTTCGCTGTCCCCTCTTCACCATCTGGGTGACAGTCCAGCCTTTCATAGGAAATCATCTCTGTTGAGATCATGGCTGTGGTCTTGGGACTCTCAATCCAAAAGGCAGCCAGATGGGCAGCACCTGCACAAAGGGCAGAGGTCCTCCTCATGGCACCCCTAAGCTCGGATGGGTTTCCCACTAGCGTGCATCAACATACACCGAGACTTTCCTCCTAGATGACAGGATTCACCCCCAGGGGCTGACTGAGGTCCTGGGGGAACCTGTATTTTCCCCGCTGTCTGGTCTCGAGGTCCTGTCCTTGCTGCCTCCCTCCTTGCTCCCGCTCTGCTCTTCAAGACATCCTGCCCATTCTTGCGGTGGCCTTGACTTCCTCAGGACCTTCTTGGCTTGGCTTTTCCCTGAGGCTCCCCTTGTCATCATTGCTGTCACTCTCCCAGGACCTTCTCCTGTCGTCTTACCCCCCCCCTTTTTTTTTTTTTTAAAGATTTTTTGTATTTATTTGACAGAGATCGCAAGAGCAGGAACACAAGCGGGGGGAGTGGGAGGGGGAGAAGCAGGCTCTCTGCAGAGCAGAGAGCCCCATGCAGGGCTCGATCCCAGGACCCTGGGACCATGACCTGAGCCAAAGGCAGATGCTTAAGGACTGAGCCACCCAGGCGCCCCTTGTCTTACCCTTCTGTGCTGCCCCACAGCACTACAAAAACCAAGCTGCGTCATCCCATCAGAGTCCTCCAGAGCCGCTGGATGGTGTTGACTAAGTGTCCGGTGTCCCCTGGATCCCAAGTGATACTGGGACATTCTCTATCTTCTCTCCTCTTGGGGGCCGTTCTCAGCTGACTGCTCTCTGCTGACCCTGCCCCGCTGTCTCTTTTCCCTCACGCTTAGCTGTGGCCTCACCTGGCTTTGCTTGGGCCAGGCTGACTGGGGGGGGGGGGGGCGGTGTCAGCGCCCCATCTGCCTCCACACTCACCAGCAACGTTTCTTACCTTACTGGGAGGAAAAGCTGTTCTTCCACCTGTCCTAAGGCTGACCCTGCTTTCTTAGCACCTTTCTGTAACTGACTTATTTTCTCCCCCTCCCTGCACTCCCGATCTCCTATAAGTCTGTTCAGGGCACGGATGCCGCATCCCTCTGGTTTGCTGCAGATGGGAGGTGAGAAATAGAGAATGACTGGCTGATCATCCAGTGGGGTTGGCCCGATGGTGGGACAATCCCAGGACTTCTGACCTGACCCTGGACTGCTGTAGAGCCTGCAGCTGAGCTGAGAAAGGTGGTGAGGGAGCAGATTCCGAGGGGAGGCTCAGAACCTCCGCTCTGGCCATGTTAGCGTGTTAGACCTGCAGGGGAGATGTTGCCGGGCCGGAAGAGGTACAAGTTCAGGAATGCGGGGATCAAGACAGGTGTCATCAGCCCCTAGATGACACTGAAAACCCTGAGGCCAAGGGAGAGCTACCGGAAGCGTGGTGGATGATGGGAGGAGCCCGAGCACAGAGCTGGGACATGCCGATGCCCGGGCGCCGGGGAGAGGAGAACCGCCAAGGAGGCTGGAAAGAAGAGCCCCGACCGTCGTGAGCAGGAAACCCCAGAGGGCGTCGCATCCTGGCCTTCCGGAGCAGGACCCGAGGGGATCCACGGTGTTGTGTTACTGGTAAGTCACATGAACTGAGAACAGAGAATTAACCATTGTCTGTGGCACTGTGGGAGTCCTCCTTGACCTTGACAGCGGTGGTTTTGGGAGAGTGGGGGAACGAAAGCAGGCCTAGAGTGGGTTTGACAGAAAACGGATTAATGAATGAAAAACAAAAGGAACCTACTCGTGTGTAGGGATAGCAGTTGATGGGGAGAGAAATGGGTTTCTGATAAATCTTGTACAAGTGTAAATGTGTGGGCTCGGTCAGTCTGCTCGCTGTTTAGACCCCTGCACTGCAGGCCCCTCAGCTCCTGTCTGAGGGGACAGTGGCTGTGCCCCGGGGGAGACTTTGTGCACAGCAAAGAGGGTGTAATGCAGGAGGGTCTGACCTCTTGGCGGCCGTGACTCCCAGCAGCCGGCTCCGTGGACGAGGTTAGCAGTGAGATCCCGTTTAGACACTTGGGGATTTCGTCCCCTTTGGACTCCTTTGAATCTTTTCCTCTGTTTCATGTTGGCGACTTTGCCCTTACGCTGTGGTTGTGGGTCCGTGTCTAATCTGTGTGAGTGTAAGCTTCTGGAGACTGGGCTCCTCCCCAGACGTGCAGTGCGTGACTGCTCGCCAGCCCTGGCCAGTGGCTCTCTGGCGCTCGCCGCACAGAGGGTCTTACGGATGGGCTGTTTGGAACTGGTACTCTGGGAGAAAAAAGCAAAAGGCCTGGGCTCTGTTTACTGCTTTCTACTGGGAGTTCTGGGTGTTTGTGTTCTCTGATAACTGAAATAATAGCTGTGTAGAACTGCTTTGTTAGCACTGTGTGTGTGTGTGTGTGTGCGTGCGCACGCTGTAAGAGGTGGGGAGAAGTGGGAAAGCAGGGTCTTCCTGCGTTGCCTTTATGGGATCATCGGAGCTTAATGAGATAGTGGATTTATCTCCTGAGCTGTGACATGTTTATGGAGAAAAGACAAAAGATCTGTTTGACATGAGCGCTGATCATCTTGAGATACAGAGCCGCTGGTTGCTTTCAAGGGCTTAGAAGTGTAAAATGTCCTAACGAGCTCGCTTCCGACATGCTTTGCGTTCTCCGTGGATTGTTTTCATTTTGGGCAGGGGTTAGCTCGCTCTAGTGGCAGATGCTTCAGCAGGGGCTTTCCATCCGGGGGATGTTCTTGGCTTCCGGACTTCTGGGCTCCCGCTAGTGAAGAGATGCCTGTTGGGCCAGGGGGTCGGGGACGCAGCTCCAGCGCAGTCTCTGCAAAAGTAGGCCAGTCGCCGTCTTGTCGTTAAGTGGGGGCTTTTGGTGCCCGTGGGCCAGCCGGCTGCTGTGTGGATGATGTGATTCACGTGGTGGGGGACAGGGTTTGAGCGGTAGGGTGAACACAGGGCTGCTGAGGAGCCTGAGCACCCTGCCGTCTCCCTAATGGGCCCTCGGCATCCTGCACAGACCCCGGGGGACCGCATGG